ATCCGCTTTTCATCCAAACGATTGGCCGCCGGCATTTTGGAGCTGCTGCTGCCCACGTGCTATGGAGATCGTTCACTGCGCCAATGCCATGTGATTTCCACGTCCGTGCCCCGGATGATGGCCTGCGAAATGGGTTGGCATATGAAATGAGCTGCAAATTGATGGAGGAATTAGCGCAGCATATTTAATTTGTATTCGCAGAAGCAACAACATCGATGGTCGACGGTCTACGGTCTACGCTCTACGGCTATGGCTATGGCTATGGCTCCTTGTTTGCCCAACGGGTGCGGTGGCCAGTGAAAGATGGGCTAATGGGCTTTTAGGTGCACATTTTTAATGCAGATTAGGCACACATTCGATTAGCTGATGGCAAAATCGAATTCGACATTTTGTTTTAACGATTTGGGATCAATACCTTAAAGTAACTTGAATTAATTTATATATTTTCAAATAATTTTACTTAAGTAGATTATGGTAGAGATAGGAGAATAGAAAGTAGAGTTCCAGGAAATAAATTCTTATACAAAACTTCAACTCTGTAGCGGGAACTAAAGAATATTTTATGCGCATCTTAATACATTTTTAATATGGAAAGACAAAGCTTAACTTTTTTATTGTAATTTCAAAATATTTCATGTGTATTCCATTAGGTATTATAAAGTAGTTTAGTTTCAAGAAAAGTTAGCCAGCTCCCCAAATTAATTAAATTAATTAAATTAAAGTTCACATGCAATTCTTTGATAAACGGTCTTAAAGATATGTATTTTTTTTAAATTCCTTTTTATTTATTGTGAATAACATTTTAGAAGGGATTGAAAATAAGCTGTAATCAATAAGAACACGAAATAATCTTAAAGTCATTAAAATTGAAGTCAAGAAATCATTTACAAAACGTTATACAGAATTAATAATTAGTTAACTTCACTTTTCAATAATATAATACTAATACTATATATATTGTTTCGTATATTATTGAATGCTTAAATAGGCTACTCCTTGTAACCTATTTTAATACAACTTAATTATCAGTTTATTCCTAGTAAAACTTATTAAGCGATAAAAACATAACTAATTCGGGATAAGTTTTATATCTTTGGACTTTTAATTAAAGACCAATCTTGTTGAAAACCAACCTTACAACAACCGACACGAAAAAACCTAACAATGTCAAACTATTCTCACAATTTGTAATTATTTGTTGTTTTAGGTTTCAAATCTAATAGGAATAAAAAGGAATCCCCACATCCCGTTAATCATAATAGAGCACTGATTAAAACTGCAATATTTGTATATCTCATGTCAATTAAAAATCCACATAAATTCCACTCACATTTCAGTGGTAAAACATTTTTATTAGCGAACGAGTGAAATCCAATCCGATGATTTATTAAATGAAACAATTATTTAACGGCCAAATTAGACGAGCTTAGGCACCTCCAACAAATGCCGCCCCTTTCGCAGCTTACCCCGCCTGGCTGCCTTGCTGCCTGGCTGACTAATTTATGTATTAACTTTGAACGCTCATTAGTTTAATTAGTCAAACAAATTAACGTGGGGCTTACGGCAAGTGGAGTGCAAACAACAAAATGGCCGAATAAACAGAGCAAATGGGGGCGGCAAGGATAGCGGCAGGATATGGAAATGGAGGCCATCTCCCTCGCACTTCATTAAATATACAAATACAAGGGATACGGATACGGTTTAGGGGCACCGAGAGAGCAGCGGCTAATTAACGGGAATGTTATAAATAAATTGGTAATAATTTAATTATCGCATAATTATGCAGATGACCGCGCACTTGTGATTTTAATTGCATTTGTCGCGAGGTCAGCGGCTCCGTTTTTCCGATCCGATTATCGATTGATTTGTCCCCTCCCTCCTCTACCAAAGCCGTGCCAATTTTATTTGCCTTTTAATTAGTTGTAAATCTTGCGCAGCCTGTTGAAAGCCAAGAGGAAAAGGCGGACGCGGGAAATTGCTGCTGCCATTGCATGCACTATTTATTTTAACAAGAGCTGCTCATTTAATACTTATTTTCACTAATTAAATGGAAGAGTAAGTACATCAGCCAGAGGGAGACAACTATATGAGAGAGAGAGAGTAACAGAGAGACAGAGAGAACAGCACACACACACACACACACTTGTGCGGGGCAGCCAGAGCAATTTTCCGCTTTTCCGCAGCGCAAAAAGTTTGATGTCTATGTAAACAGCGGCTTTTGTGTGTGCCTCCGAGTGTCTGTGTGTGTGTGTCTGGCGAGCTGCCAATTTGCCTGGCCCACTCACACACACACACACACACACACTAACACACTCACAGACACACACACACACTTTGGCGGAAAGCCGTATGTACATACTAACGTATTCCGTATACGTCGGCTGTTTGAGCGCACTTAAATAATGAATAATGACGAGACAAGCAATTAAAATAATTTGCGGTTTTACCGTGCGTATGCGCATCATTTAATTTTGCATGTAAAAGAGTTAAGCACTTACTACACAGTGAGAAATGGGTAGCATATTAAAGGATACCATATGAGAGGGTATATAGAAACAAGAATCTGAGGGGATAAGTTGTAGCAACAATAGGAAATGCCTTGACTCGAAAAGAGAGTTAACAATAGGTTGACACGAGATATTTAACAGTATAACTATTTACAAATTTAAATAATTGTCAAAGTAAATCATTAAGTTTAACAATTTGAAATTTAATTTGGTTATATGCCATTGATTTAATTGATTATGAAAATTATGAACCATAACATGCTGTAAGAAATCGAAACATTTTAGGAAAGAACCACTATTTCTCATAAAATAATAATTTATATGTTGAACAAATAATAATATATTACTGTGAAAGGTTTTTAGTTAAGAAAAATATCATACATTTTTAATTTTATTTTATTTTTAAGGGAATCATAGTAAAAACTACTTAAGATTGGATAGTAAAACCATTAATGGTAACTAACATGACTATTTATCCAACATTAATATATAGTAATATACTCTTTTAAAATAAATAACTAGGTTTATTATTCATTTGCCAATGTAAATTATAGAAATATTTTTATTTGATAAATATTACTATTAAGCCACAATATGATTGTAAATTTTAATAGAGTTTTAATGACACACTCAAGATATACCACTGATATTTGTAACCCTTATTAAATAATATTAACTTGGGAATTATTTAGAATTTAAAATATATATTTAGCTTAATGATACCTTGCTCTTTAATTTAGACTTCTTTCCTTATTCAATTTATTTTCGATTTATTGAAATGTGACTGTAGGCAGCAAGTACGTTAAGACGGGCCAATCTCCTCCATCAATGGGCTAATTACAATGAGTGGCCGTCGCAGTCGTGTTGGTGGCGAGCATCTTAAAACTAATTAAAACGAAAAACGGCATAACAAGCTGCTCATTAAGCAGCCAAGTTCTTTCCTTGGTGCCCTTCTCTGCCTTCCCTGTGGTTAATTATAGAAAGGAGAGCGAAACTGTGCTCCTCGGTGCTAACGAGTTGCTGCTATTGGGACTGAGGGCGGAGCATTAAGGCCGGGAGATATATATATGTATGTATACATAGATGGAGAAGCTGGAGATTCCCTCCGGATTCCCAGCTAACACCCAACTCTGCCTCGTTGGAGTTCATTAAGCAGCATCCGACGGCGTCCACTTAACGATGTCACTTATACGCCCCATTGTCCCTCGGACCCAACAGGCTAACGGGAGAGATGGACCACCTCCCCATTTTGCCACTCAGAAAGCAACCCATCCCACCCCCATTGAAGGCCACTGCTGCGATGCGTATAAACCGCAAATTGGATGCGATATTAAATCGTCTGTGCCAAAGCGCATATAAATTTTTGTTCAATTTAAAAGAATCTCCCCCAGAGAGAGTGAGAGAGAGAGAGCAAGCGCAAGAGAAAGAGAACGAGAATGAGAACGAGAGAAAGTCACCTATAAAGGGACTGAGCAAGAGAGAAAGGTTAGAAGAGTGCGGAATTTCGTTTGAGTTTTACATAGGAAGTGTCAACCACACAAAAAAATAAAAAAAAACAATTGTATATACAACTAATTAGCAACATAATTTTTAGTTAAGGGAAAAAAATATTCTTAAGTTCAATTAAGCTGCAGAAAGCACCAGGCATTCATGCATAAATGACTAAGAACAAACCAAGCAGAGAGAAAGTGACACACAACCGTAGCAAATCTAATAAACAAAAAGACAAAATAATGCAAAGAAAAAAGAAATAGAAGAATGAAAGGAATGTGACAAAAGTTGAGATCCATTTCGCAGGCAACCGACCGCATAAACAAACAAATTTTGCGCTAAATAATTTGACAATTACTCACATCCTCAACGGGGAGAAGCCACCTCGTTTCGCTGCCTTTGTAGCCCGTCGTCGGGTGGCTATTACAGTTGAGCGAAGAACTATGTAAAACAGGACTCAGGACTCAGGACCTGCCTCTCCCTCTCTCTCTTTGGTCTCTGGACTCCTGCTGTGGCTTAGACTTGCAACAGACCATTACATTTGCTAACGAGTGGAAGGCAAATTAAATCATTAGATGCTAGTAGAGATTAGAGCTCTGGCGGGGAGGAGCCAACCCACTCAAAGAACCACTCAACAAGGGGCGTGGAGCGTAGAGTCAGAGAGAGAGAGAGAGTGCAAGAGAAAGCGCAAGAGCGAGAGCAAGCGAGTGTCACTCAATGAGGAAACCACCACCACTGCCAACACCACAGCATCAGCATCAGCAGCATCGGCAGCAGATTTGTCTGCCTCCCATTTAGCAGTTGACTTGCCACAGGCACACATCTGTTGGATTAACAACTCAGAGCTCAGACCAACCCTCATTACGCTTCTGGCTCTTGAGCGTGTGAGTCGTCGGGCGCGGATTACGCTCAGGATAATCGAAGGCAGCAGCATCAGCATCAGCTTCATCGGATATTGGCAGACTCACGCCGGCAGCAGTGGACAGTCGATTGGCTGCCATCCAGGTGACAGGACACGGACACGCATCGCGCAGTGAATCTCCCAAGTGAATCTCCCCAGTGAAACCCAAGTTTCTATCTGTAAAAAGAAAACAATAACTATATCGAACAAAGGCCCCAATATGGTCATGCTGCAATCGCCAGCGCAAAAGGCCAGTGAGAGTGCATCGGCCCAGCCAGCCGCCGCCGTCGGTGGTTTGATGAGTCCCAACTCGAATCCTGATTCACCCAAATCCAACACCTCACCGGAGGTGGCCAGGGTCGAGGCTTCGGTAACACCGCCGGCCGCCAAGATACCCAAGTTCATCATCAGTGCCAGTGGAGCCGCGGTGGCGGGAAAACAGGAGCAGGAGCTGAGGTACTCCCTGGAGCGTCTCAAGCAGATGAGCAGCGAGTCGGGCAGCCTGCTGAGTCGCCTGAGTCCCTCGCAGGAGGATACCCCCGAAAAGGATAGGCCCAATCACAATAACAACATCAGTTTGACCAACCACAACACGAATCCGATTCCCAGCAATCCACGACGTTCGCAATCTCCTCCTGCTTCCGGAGGCAGCTCTGGCAGCTTCACCTCACCTGCCCAGCAGCGCAAGCTCCTGGAACTTAGTGCCGTGAGACACTTGGCACGACCGGAACCTCTCCAGCATCCACATGCGGCCCTGCTGCAGCAGCATCCACACCTGCTCCAGAATCCACAGTTCCTGGCCGCCGCCCAGCAGCACATGCATCATCATCATCACCAGCATCAGCATCATCAGTTGCAGCCGCATCACCCACACCAGCAGGGGCATCCTCACCCACATCCTCATCCACATCCACATCAACATCCACATCCTGCTGCAGCGGTATTTCATCTGAGGGCGCCCAGTAGCAGCACCACCAGTAGCACCACAGCCCCGCCCTCGCCAGCGACTTCGCCTCTCTCACCGCCCACCTCACCGGCCACGCATTCCGACCAGCAGATGAGCTCCCCCATAGCACCATCGTCTCAGAACGTCCCGGCACATTCCTCCCAGGCAGCGCCATCTGATATGGATTTGGAGCGGATTAAGCTGGTGGCTGCGGTGGCGGCTCGCACCAATCAGGGCCAAGGTCAGGCTCAAGCTCCCAGCACTTCCGCCGCCGCCTCTGCCTCTGCCACTGCCTCCGCTTCCGTTTCCGCTTCCATCTCCAATGCCAGCACCTCCATCTCCAACTCAAGTTCCGGCTCACCCAGTGGCCGGGATCTCAGTGACTATGGCTTCCGAATACAGCTTGGCGGTCTGGCTGCCGCGGCGGCTGCTGCGGCGGCCACTTCGCGGCAAATCGCAGCTGCTAATTATGCGCGGAGTGACACCAGCGAGGAGCTGAATGTCGATGGAAATGATGAGGATAGCAACGATGGATCTCACAGTGCGCCGTCGGTAAGTCTATGGGATTTCTTAGGAAAGGTTAAAGGGGAAAGCGCTACAGAATTTGTCAGAAAGAATTTATGTATTCAATTAAGTCAGGGATTTAAATTTATTCATTTGTTTAATTTAAACATTTCAAGACACTTTTTTTCTGTAGTTGTGGTGATTAGATTAATGGAGTTTATATATTGGTAATGTTGATCAATAATTGTTTTCATCAAAGAAAATGTTGATAAAAATCAATACTGATAACTCACCAGAAAAGGCTTTATATAAAGAAACACAATAACAATATAAAATACATGTAAATTATACATTAAAAATATACAAGTATTTAAATATAGAATAAAATATTTAGAAGATGTTCGAAATGTTTTTCAAATTGTTTTTGATTTTATAAAGTCAGAGCTAAAATATGTAAATAAATGTTATATACATTCATTTATATCACGAGTAATATATAGTACATATATGAAACTATGACATTAATCGAAAATATCACATTTTATGGTAGAACAAGTTTAATGTTGATGTGCAATACGAGGTTCATTCCATCATTATTTAGAAGAAATATAATTCGATTTATAAAATTTATTTAAAATGTGATTTCTTGACATCCAAAATAAACAATTTGTTAAGATATAACTTGATTTGATTTCCCTGTTTCTTGTTAGATATTCCACTTTAAAATGTTGTTTTTTAATATGTCTGTAAGCAAATATTAAAGATGTATTCTCAATAAACACTCAATTTTAAATGATCTTAAATACCTAACATATTTTATTTTCTTTATTTTCCAGGTATGCCCTGTGGATCTGACAAGATCGGTGAATAATGGCGCCACGGTAAATCCAAACTCCGCCTCGACAAGTGCTTCTAGTGATCGTGATGCTGCCACAAAGCGTTTGGCTTTCTCCGTGGAAAACATCCTGGATCCAAACAAGTTCACTGGCAACAAGCTGCCCACAGGTCCATTTGGACATCCTCGGCAGTGGAGCTATGATAGGGATGAGGAAATGCAGGAGCGATTGGATGACGATCAGAGTGAGGATATGTCTGGTGAGTAGCCGGAAATGAAACATTTGAAGCCCCTGGGACTGAGTTCACACTCGATGAATGGCAAATCACATTGATGGTTAGCTGTCTGATTTTGATTTGATTGAAATCGATGGAAATTCATGGCACGCCCACTAAACACGTTCCCCTGAGTGTCTCAGCACACACACTATATACGGGGGAGGAAAAGGAAGAACACCTGCAAACAGTGTGTGCTTCTCCTCATCATCATCATCATCATCCTTGTTTTCCGGCTGTGTTTTTTCCCTTCGCCAGAGTGTGTGCCTGTGGGTGGGATGGCGGCGCATGTTATATTTATACTGCTGCTTGTATCGTTAGGTATGTTTTGATTTTGAATTTGCTTTTCCGAAACTCCCCATGCCCCCCTCACCCACTTCCCTCACACTCTTCGAGAGGCAGGGGAATTTCTGCCATTTTTAAGGCACTGCGATTTTTGTGTTGCCTGCTTTCAGGCGCAAGTCACGTAGGGCTGTGTTTGTGGGTGTGTAAACTGTGTGTGTGGGTGGTGTGTTTATGTTGGCCATGAAAGCATTTATATTTTGCGAATGTTCAATGGCAAACAAATGCGCAAATGCCAAAGCAAACCCAGAAAAAAAAGAAGGATCCCCAGACCGTGCGGCCGAGGAACTCCTCGTTTTTCGTACGCAAACTTGTTTAGACCAAAAATGTGCTGCACTCATATCCAATAAGGATTTTCAATAGAATTGCTTTTAATTGATTGATTGATGTTTTAATTGGGGAAAAGCCTTTGCCAGCTGGAAAGCTACGTTTACTTTTTTTCACTCTCTTTATTTTTTGCTCTCCCTAACTGTTTGTCTTGCTGCGGATCAGGTTTTCGGTTTTCCAATGATTTCAGTTACTTTACTTTTCTTTTTTTGCTGTGTGCCTTTGCTGCCTTTTTCCTTTTCGTTGGCTGGCTAAAATTTTGCTGGAAATTAATTGATTTTCATGCTTGGCTAGTTGCAAAGAAATTGCTCAAATAAAAATTTGCAAATTTGATTGAAGTTGTTGTGGGCGGGGTTTGTGGCGATACCATCGCTAAGCCGCTGCCAAAGCGCCAAAAAATAGAGAAATAAGAATGTTTTTTTGAGGGGCTTGGAGCTGGGTATGGAGCTGAGGCTGGGAATGGAGCTGGGTTGGGTCTGATTAAGTCCAAGTCTAGTGCGGTTTGTTTGAACGCTGTCCATAATCAGATTATGAAGCAAGTTGACTTAATTGGTAAAGGGGCAGAGGTTATGGCCATCAATTGTGGCTAAATAATTGCGAAACTTCTGTAACTTCTGTTTACTACGGTTTTAGGATAGGAAAAATATAACCAATGCAATTAATCTTTATAAAGTCTTATTAATAAAAATAATGTTTTTAGGAACTTATCATCATATTTCATTTTAAATACATGTTTATTCTTGTGGAAAATAATTTTAATTGGAAGTTTAGGTTTAAGGTATTTAAAAATGCATTTTATTTAATATTGTACATAGAGCAAACTTGGCTAAAATGAGCTTTTGAAATATATTTTCGTATCCCTTGCATTTTTATAGGCTCCTTAGAATGTTTTTATACAATACTTATTTTATTTTATGCACCTAAGTACTCTGTTATTTACTCCTAAACCAAATCGTTCTGATTTCTGATTAGCCAACAAGCAGAATAAAGGTTTGTGCTCCAATAATTTAACTCTTCCCACTATTTAAAGTAAGCAATTCGTTGGTCACTTAAGTACGAAATTATAAACACGGGAAATGACAATTTCCTATCGCATTACTAGCAACTACAACACAAAAATTCACATCATTATCAACGACACATTATCGGCCATTGCTGCGTGTCGGTTGCCGGTTGTGTTGCCTTCGCTGTTTGTGCATTTGTGTTTGTGTTAATAAAACACAATTAACTTCATCAATGGCGGGGCGGTGGCTCCGGACATAACTGCTAATAAAAGCGACTCAATGGCCGCGCCAACGACCCCATGAACAGGGGGGAAGCTCTGAAAGCGGCCAGAGAGTGGAGTTGAGTGGTTGCAAACACACACAGACAGGCAGACGCGGAAACTTTGCCAGGGTAATGATGTTGGAAATAATTATGTTGCCGGCAGTTTACAGCAACCCCTAGGCCCAGTGTACACACACATAGATATACACCAGCCAGACAGTCAGACAAACTGTGTGTGTGCATCACGCATACGCACTGTTTGCGGGCTGGCATTCAACGACTGTTGGTTGGTGTTGCTGTAGTCATTAATTAGCAAGGTACTTAATTACCGCACATTCATTAGGCGCTTCAATGGCGCTGTCACGCACACACACACAGACAGAGGGAGGAGAGAGACAGCAGGAGCAGAGACAGAGACAACGACATCGGTACCGCTTTTATGAGCCATTGGAGGTGGAGGTGTTAATGCCACTGCTGCCTCTTCGGTCGCTTCGGCTTAGATTAGCGTAATTATGCGGCCCTTTGTCATTGCGACTAATTAGATTTTATGGCTGCGAAACCGACTTGTCTCTCCATCTCTCTCGCTCTGTGCCCCTTAAGCTGGTTAATAATTCATAAATATCACGCATACGCCATGTCGGCTGACTGCAAGTCTCCAAGGCACCATTCGTTGCGTTTTAGGCGCAGCAATTTGCATTTCATTTAAATTGCAAAGCATAAAACTAACAACGTACACACACACATTTGCAACAATAAAGCCACATCATATTGTGTGCATAATCCAGATAGCCAGGAAAGCAACTGAAAATGCGCCCCAAAAGTCATATGAAAAAACATGCGATAACCGGGCAGGAGAGAGGGTGGAACCCGAGAGGGGTGTTTGGGCCAGCATTTAAATGTGGGAGGATGGGGCAAGAACAGTGAAGGGAGAAGTCAGAAGCAACCCCCGAAACGAACGAACGAACGAACGAAAATGTAAAATGGCTGCGAAAAACTTTTATTCTTTTTCAGCACTCAATTTGGTGCGCTCGTCTCACTCACTCTATCCGTGTCTCTCTCTCTCTCTCTCTCTTTTGCTCAAGTGCGTGTGTTTGGGTACAAGGACTCGGGGGAGTCCTGTGCCTGAGTCTCGTTTCTCTGTCGGTGTGTGTGTATGTGTGTGAGGAGCTGGAGGAATATGGTCTCCATTACACCTCCTTGCAGTCACTGTAAAGTCAAGTTAAGCGACAGTTTTCCGAGGCTCGTTTTTACGAGTATATCCGTCCATCAGCAACTCATTTATTATTTTATGAAAATGGCAAAATGAGACGACAAACGCTCCCCGGGGTCGCATTGGCCAGGCGGATGCGATTACAATGATTGCCCTGGGCACAAAGAACTTCAAATTTATAAGCAATTTCAGGCCACTGTCTGTGTGTGTGTATGTGTATGGTAATTTCTGCGCCAGTTTGTGGTAATTAACGCTCGGATTTCATAATTAAGTTTAAATTGTATGTTGTAATTCCAGCCACCATCGGCTTGCCTTTCCCCCAAATTGCACTCCTGCATGTAAGCTCACTCTTTTGCAGTCTCCTTGCTCCTCCTGCCAGATGGCTGCTGTCGCCGTATCATCAAAATTGCTTATGAAGTGCTTTCGCCATAATTATAATTAACAGGCCCCATTTTGTTAATGGGAAACGCCAGACAGTTACGAATTGGGCAATTATTTTTGGCTTTTAATGGTGATCAGGTTGAAACGATGTTAAAGATCCCTTAAAGAAGGCTTTGTATAGTGAGAAGTTTAAGTATATTAAACAGGGAGTTAAGGGAGAGAAATTAAAATGATGCTGAATAGAATTATAAATATGCTTTACTAAGTAAATGTATTACTGGGTCTTCATAGAATTGAATCCATAACATTTGTAGTTTCCAATTAAATTTAAACGATTGAAAAACAAATGCTAACTCTTTACCTTTTCCAAATGTTAGTAAGGATGCTTTTCTCCCCTTCCCCATGCTTTCTCTAAGTAATTAAGTAAATAAGCCTGATCGGTTTAGTGTAATTAAACGATTCACTCAGTTGGTGGATAAATATTGAACTGGGGCCGACGGTCTGCCTCCTTTCATGTTGCCAAGTTGCAGTTCCCAGTTGAATGGCCAGCGTAATTAGGCACCAATCCCTCGCTCTCGCTCCTGCACTGGCAAATGCGGTTGCAACGCTTATTAACCCGGCCAGAAATCGATCCTTTTGATTTTTCCTGCTGCGTTTGTTTGACATCGCATTAAGCGACTGTCTGTCTGTCTGCTTGTCTTCCTGTCTACCCCCTTGACTTTGGCCTATCCGTTGCATGGGGGTAAAGGCTGTTAATTCAATTGACTCAAACCCATTGTGGTCAGGGCCAGTCGTCGACTCGAATCGGTTAGATATATTGATGGGTCCTGGGCCGGCGGCCTCTAATGTGCCATTAATGCATATCAAAGTGGCTGCAAACACTCCACAGCCCATTACCACTTTGCGGCCGTCGCGAAATTCGTTAAATATTAAATGAAGCGTTCACGTTAATTTTCGTTTTAATTGCCGTCCAGTCTGCGGTGCACTTTTAGGCGCATCTGCCACCCATTTTCCTGCTCGCCCCAAGTTTCCCTTCTAATTTGATGCAAACACGGCCAATCATGTTGGCCAATTACGGGGACCAGTGCGACAGCATCCTTGACGGAGGGTTGACACTTAACCGACCCTTTTTCGCCTGGCTGAATTGATTCCGCCGCATTGAAAGGGGTCCACCGCAAAATCGCTTTTCGCTGGCACGAAAATTGGTTAACAAGCTAAAGTTTTTACAGATAGGTGGAGTATTTAAAGGGGGTTTCTGTATACTTTCTAAGCTGTTTTTTGATTATTAAGAATGCATAGTGAAAATGATGAAGAACTTTTGCCACTAAAAAGTGCTGTCTGTTGGGCATTTATTGGGATATAATGTTAAAGGAAGTTGTTGATAAATTATTAACAATATCCTTGGTTTATATGCTTTATAAAATTTTTTGTTAAACCTTGAAAAAATGGTAAAATCACTGCCATGGGGCTTTCAAAATATTCCCCAATTAATGCTAACTGGTAACTGATATCCAGCTGAAGGACACACCCTTGGACACAACCTCGCATGGCCAGTCTTAATTGAATTTTGATTGTCGAATCATGGCAATCGAATCATGTCCAGACACTGCACCCATCTCTGGGGTCAGCGTTCCCATGTGCGTCAACATGTGCCAAAAAATTCCAATTAATCCAACAATGATGCGGTAGTCGAGGTGATTGATTTCCCTTTGCCACGGCCCCTTGTCTGTGATGGATGACCCGACCCTGTACTCGATCCTATTGACTTATGCAAAAGGAAATAGATACATTGAATTGAACCATTTTTCTCCTCTTTTTCAATATGTCTTGCAGCTCAGGATCTGAACGACATGGATCAGGATGATATGTGTGACGATGGCAGTGATATTGACGATCCCAGCAGTGAGACGGATTCAAAGAAGGGCGGCAGCCGGAATGGAGATGGAAAGTCCGGTGGAAGTGGTGGCGGCGGTGGCTCAAAGCCAAGGAGAGCTCGGACTGCCTTCACCTACGAACAGTTGGTTTCGCTGGAGAACAAGTTCAAGACCACTCGCTATTTGAGCGTCTGTGAGCGGCTGAACCTGGCTTTAAGCTTGAGTCTAACGGAAACACAGGTGAGAATGATGTTTCTCTGAAGAAAAAGGAGTAATAGTACTAATAACAAACTTAAATCTAAACGAAGAAAATATCTAAAAACTATCTCTAATATTATCCTTCCACTATTCTCTCCTTATTTTAGGTGAAAATTTGGTTTCAAAATCGCCGAACCAAGTGGAAGAAGCAGAACCCCGGCATGGATGTGAATAGTCCTACCATTCCACCGCCTGCAGGTGGCTCCTTCGGGCCGGGTGCCTATGCCAGCAGCTTGCTCTATCCCCACGCTGTGCCCTATCCTCCATACGGACCCTACTTCCATCCCCTGGGCGCCCATCATCTCAGCCATTCGCACTCATAAAATTGCAAGATGCAACAGCGATTGTTGCAACTGTTTGAGAAGCGAGGAAAGCAGGAGGGCGGCGGCCTGCTGGCTCCCAAGGATAAACTGTAAATGTCAAAACTGCTTTAAGTGTGTGTGCGTGTGTTTAGTATCCTGAAAAACTCTTACGTTATTTCTCCCGTCTACGTGCTGTATATAGTTCTTGTAAAATATATATAAATATGCTATGCTAGTGCTTAGAACCTCGAATGCCATATCTAGGAATTAAATTATACAATTACTTGTAGCGTTTAAGTGGCAAGCAAAATCAAAAGGAGCAAACAAAAATTGCATAAATGTCAAGTGAAAAATAAACATTTTAAAAACCACCCGAAATGGATACTTATTTCATTGTGTATGTGTCATACGAGGAGCGGGCTCGGGGGAAGGGGGGCAAGGACACCACCGTGTGAAATGACAGGACAACAATGCTAAGTCAAGTGTAAAATTTTAAATTTGCTTCTCATTTGCCATCAGGGGCTCAGGCACTCACACACACCCGGTGATTCAATTATGTGGCAAACGGATGCGAATACGAAATTTCTTAATCCGATTTGGGTGATACAATGCCGACTGTCGACTGCCGGCTATATCTTCCTGTTCCTGTGAAGCCGGGCGGCGCGAGGGGTTGTCAAAACAGTGACAAGCAAATGAATAAATTCACGGGCGCACACCTCCCGTCCATTGATATTATAATCGCCTCAGAGAGTGAGTGTGCGTGTGGGCCAAGATGCGTATAATTGAAACAGAAATCCTTTGCATGGTCGGTCATTTTGGCCGGATTCGGATCCGGATGCGGATTGACTGCGACTGCCGCTGACAGCGGTGCACAAAAGTAAACAAGGGCAAGGACTTCGGACTGGGAACGAGTCCTTTGTATCTATTTCGAGCACACACTCACCCTCTCTCTGCATACGAAAGTATTCAACTCTTTTTCGGCTGCCTTCCTTTTTAAATTGCTTAAATAATTGATTAACAATTTTTGCTCTTGCATTTGTTTAAAGCTTTGGTTAAGTACTTTGCAATTAGTCGCACAAATCCTATTTGCACGTCACACCCACACACGCCTTGTGTCAGTGCACAAGGACTCGCGTCTGTCGGTGTGCGTTAATTTCTGTAAATGTAAGTCCCTAAATTATTCAGCTGCAGACATGTGAGCAAATTCAAACAGCCCAGAAAGGAGCCAGAGGATGGCAAGAAGAGGATGAGGGGAGCATGTTTAATTTGCATAAAATTAAATGCTAATTTTAGTTGCACAAATTTCACCACGAAAACTTTTGACGATGGAAACGGAGAGGAAGGGAAACGCCAGAAAGAGTCGGGTGTGTAATATAGTGCCCTTGGGATTTGGAATAAAACAATGGAATCGATATAGTGGCCTTTAGAATATATATTGAAATATATGAGAGTGTTCGAAACAAATGGTTCCTAAAAATACTAATAGGCTTAATTACCATTCTCTTAATACCTTTCTATTGTTTTAATTTTTATTAAAGTCCAGAAAAGAGACATTTCAGAAATGGAAAGAGTGCACTGTATAAAATATACCTAAAAAGGGACTTCCTTAGCCAAAGTTAACCCAAATTTAACTCCGTCGTTAGGCCAATCTCGTCTGTTAATAAGAATTACTTTAAACTGTTCTCGTCGCAACTCGGTCTGAAATGTATATATTTTTTTTAGGGGGGTGTAAATTAGGCCTGACACTGAGCCCTCTTGCAAGTCAGTGAAACGATAAATTAACGGCGCTTTGGCCAGCGCTAAGCTACCCTTAACGAGGCCCGAACGCCTTGACGCAAATCCAAGACAATTGCTTTTCAATCCAGAGTGTCACAGCCACCTTACTGCGGAAGCTGCGGAACTTTCAGTGTCACTCTCCATGGGTTTTCCGCAGAATCAAAACGCGACACTCACACAATTAAGTTGTTTTTCCCGCCCCCGCCTCCGTCATTTTCCATTAATCTGGACTGAGTTTTTCCCAGAATTTGAATTCGATTTTGAAGCACTCTGTGTGTTTTGTGGGTCGAATTGGGTTGGGCCCGCTTCTTTTTTTAGTCACGCTTTTCACGAGGGCCTTCTTATGCGCCTGAATTGCTCCAGATTACGCATACATCACATCAGTGTCCTGGCACTCGTCCTGGTGCTCGTCCTCGTTCTAGTCCTCTTCCCAGGAAGTGTGTATGTGCCGCTTTGGTGTGAGCAACATTTAATCTGCACCATTGACTTCTCTTCTCTCTGAAAAGAAACCCTCCCCATGGCTGGTTGGGTGCTAGTAAATTTGATGCGAATATTTAGTTTGTCTGCGTTATCGGCGCGGCTTTATCGAAACTTATTGTGTTTGTTTAATTGAATTTGGATTGCTGTGACAATTTCGCGTTTGAGTGCGCTCCAAATACCCTGCCGGAGCAGAGATAAATACGGATCAGGATCTGGGTAACTACTTGCTGCTGCTCCTACAACTTGACGCGCGGAGGATGTCTAATGGGTGAGTGGTAGATAAAGTTGCGACTTAGTTTAGTTCATTTAGTTTGCCATTTACCAACGCATCCATCTGTTTATCTGTCTGCAATTAAAACTTAATAAGTGGGCCACGCCCCCAGGAACCCAACTGTGTATATGTGTATATATTCGTATGTGTACATATGCGCTCTCGGCTCATATAAATTATGGCCTGAAGTTGACATAAACAAGCTCCCAAGAGTCCTTTTGCCCAAGTTATATGACAGATTTGCGCAGAGCATTTTGATGAAGCATCCAGGGGGGTGGCCAAAGGACGAAAGGCCGGATACGCTAAAGTGTCACCAGGGAGCTGATGGGCGGATGGGCGGCGGCGGCGGGCACATGTGTCTTGGCTCAGGGGGTGAGTTGCAATCGTCCTTTGTTGTTTTCCAGGCGAATCACATTTTGATGATTGTCAATGTGACTTTAATGCCATTTTTCAACTTCAACTTCCCTGCCCCTGTGCCAAGCGAGGCACGTGCAAAAGGGCTGTTCCAGAGACAGTGATCGTAATGCTGACATCTGTGGATTAAATTGCAATTTGTGCTCATGTAATATTGAAGCCGGGCAGTGTAACGCGCTTCCCGGCATTGTTTGCGCGACCTTAACTGGTTCGGTTTGTGTCTTCCGCTCTCCCGGGCTATTAATATTTGAAATTGCGCATGGGCAATAAAATTGTAAAACGCCTTTGTGCTGGATATAATATTTGATGTCCTTATGGTCGATTAACGGGGGGGCAGGGAGATAACCAGGCCACATAATTTAGTACAAATGTGTCACATTTGCCAAAGCCATGTCTATAAATATTCAAGGGAGTCAAGTAAAAATTGTAAACGATAGTGTTTGCTTTTATGTATTGATTGGTTAACTAATTTAATTAATAATTTACATGTGTCACAGATGCTTAATATATCCTGTTAATAGATTCCACTATTTATCTATCTGCAAAGTTTGTAATACGTATGTTGCGAGAGATGAAGTAGTCCTCAATGTTCATTTCAAATGCATCTCTTCGAATAGTCTGTAAGATCGCCGAGAACGTTGTCGACTCCAGATCAATATTAAACACCATTGAGGTTTCATCCTCATGACTTAAAACCATATAAAAAGTAAATTTAAAAAGCATGAGAATTGATGTGAAGGCAGGACTTGCACAGACTCACCTGAGCACAGCGGTGGGGAACTTTATCTCCATGAAGGCGCTAAACTTCCTATGCGGCGACAGGGGGAAGTGATTAATCCGATTCCAAGTGGAACGGGACAAGCTTAGATTGGGATTGACCTTGCGCTTAAACCGAACCTCCAGCTGGTAACCGTTCCTAAAATTATGGTCTTTATTCTCAATGGGACGGATCGTCCATATTTCGCCGTTGAACATGACAGACCGTTTCCAACACAGTCGCTCCATGTCCAGGATAGGCAGGCTGGTGTAGAGGAAGGCGGAACCCATTGCTTGCATAATAGTGGTTACCGTCAGAATGATCCGCTTCGCAACGGGGTCCAGACCCGCGGGAACACCATCCACGCAGACGAGTTCCGGTTTACTGAGAATGGCGAAGGCGAAGGACAGCCGTCGCTCCTCGCCGGTGGTACAGAAGCGGGACGGTCGCTTGAAGCACTGGTGTAGTCCGAGCATCTTGATCAATGCGTCGACCACCTTCCTGGCGTCCTGCTTCGGATGGCCGTGGAACAGAGCCTGGATGTAGAGCATCTGTTGTGGTGATAATTCGGTGTGTAGATTGTCCCTCTGGGGAGCGTATCCCACCATGCGATAGGTCATGTTCCGGTCTTGGGACACCGAGTAGCCGCGAATCCATATCTCGCCGCTGCTTAGTTTCGCCTCGCGCACTATGACCTTCAGGAGCGTTGATCTGCCCGAATCGTTTAGCCCGTTGATGTTGAGGCACTCGCCTCTGCGAGGGGGAGGGCAGAAGGAGACTAGTATCTAATCATTTGACTTAACTTAACTTAACTTACTTGGCTAACGTAAGGTTAGCGCCCTTGAGCACCTTCACCTTGCCATACATGTTGACCAGATCCATGGCAACCAGAGCTTGCTCTTTGCGTTCCTCCGGCGATAAATTAGGGCTCTTCTCGCGTTCTATGAGAGCCGATGGATCATCAGATATCTTGCTTCGAACCTGACTATTGTGAGACGTTTGATTTGCTGGCTGCATATTCTTTTTTGACGCTGATTGGCACTTGCCAAAGCCTATCAAATTGTAATACTCCGAGAGAAAAAGCAGAATACTCGCTACAGAGATCAACGTCGCCAAAACGAGGAAATCCCAGACTATGCCATGGTTATTGTGGGTGTACTCCTCCTCAACTAAGGAATGATTATTAGGGATTACTCATATTTCGTGCAAGGAAATGCACCCGGCAAGATATGCTTTGCGATAGTAATATATCTTCCCGAGTGCAGCTTATGGATTCAATACTCAACTGCAGCAGTTGGGATTTGTCTGGCACTTATAGACATTAATGGAGGTGAACGCCACCATTTTATCAGAACAGTACAATTTGTTCGTATAATTGTTGAACAGCTTGACAATAATTAACGCGCTTATATACTGATGGAATATCATCAGCCACTTGGGTAATTCATCGATTGTATGTCTGTAGCTCTCTTCGAACATGAGAAGTCCAATGCAGCTAATAAGGGACACCACCATGAATGCGAACATGGGATGCCGACAACGACTGGCTACCAAATGCGTTACCAGCGTCTTCAATAATCCAGCCATCACAATAGCCAGCAGCAGCATTACTAGGGGAACACGAATTGAATCGAAATGGTAGAAAGTTGGCAAGAGGACTCACAGATAAAAGCCACATCGCTTTGGGGATGTTGGTAAATGATCACCATGATCACTAGGACTATGATGAACATAAACTGGCAGACGACGTTATAGAGGATTGTGAATGTCCAATAGCTGAGCTGCCGGGCTCCGGCCAGGAACTGTTGTTTCTTAACATGGCCAGATCGTTCTCGGATGATGAGTAGAGCATGCGCTGTCGTGATAAAACATAGCACAAAGGATATTATGGAGGCAATTGTGACGCCAAAGGATTGGGTTCCCGGTGGAAATAAGTTGATATTTGTTTGAAAGCCAAGCGGCTCCAGGGTCACATCAATGGTCGCCTCCACGTCTAAAAAGTTTCTGAAAATATAAGTGATTTAAATTAATATTTGAGTAACTATGGGTTCGGTCATACAGGCCATACTCTGGAATATTTGGGCAATTGGGAATGTTACCTTATGCTCATGTAAGCGTACCTTTAATCTCTTTCATATATCTCAATATTACGGGAATGAGAAACTCACCTGGCTATCGCATTGTGGATGACATTGAGGGTAATGGGCGCTATGTGCAAGGGAATGTTATTGAACCAGGCGGTAAGCAAATTCTTGTCGAACGTTGCCCCAAACAAATAGGCCATGTTGACGTTCTGGGAGAACTCGTTATTTTGCGTCAGGGCGTAAGAGCCATCATGAGTTCTGTCTACAGAATCCACTTTGGCGTCATACCAGTGAAGGCATTCCTTGTAGTGCTCGTATATGTCCTCGATGTCCTTGTCGTCGCTGACAAGCTCCGAGAAGACTTTAGCGTTGACTATGTTGCTAAGGTTATAGGTTTTCGGTACCAGCTCATAATTTTTGCCATAGATGAAAGCGCCAGAGAAGATGCAAAGCGTAGCTATTATAAAGGTCAGAATTTCTATGAGTAGGACATGCCAATGTTTTATGTCAATAGTCAATCGCATTTTAACTATTGCCCTTTAAAGAGATGAAAATAGAAAATATCGATATCAAATTTAATATTGAAAATATCTTAAGAGCTTGATTTAAAGAAATTTCAATATAATTATAAAATATAAATAGTATTTTCCAATATCTCCGATACCGAAAACATACCTGAGGTGCAGAAGCCATAGTCCGAGCCCACTTCCCCGCCTATTAGGTTCGGCGTCCGCTAAGGTAGCAAAGTACTTATTGATGAGGACATTCGGATTGTCCTGATAGCCAAGGGTTCCACCCATCTGGTCCTCTTCATCGCATCCGAAGCGTAAAAAGATCTCCTCCGTGGAGGTGTCCCTTATACGAAAACTGATCACATCCAGGCGCTCCATGTGCTCCTCCAAATCGTCGATCAACGCCGGGAAGTAATCCTCATCCTTGTTCTCCAAAACGAAGTTGACCTTAAAGCCGTAGTTAGACTCGATAGTCATGTTGGGCAAATGGCTGTTCATCAATTCAATCAGCGCTGGAACGTTGCAGTTCCTGCCCTTTGAGCAAACCTATAGATACATTGGTATATACAAGCATGGGCAAGGATAAATTTTGGGGAAATGATCTCACCAATCGGAATCCATGTCCGTACATATTCTTCAGAAAAGGCTTAGTGCCGGTACACTTCAGTTCACCGTTCGACATAATTGCCAGTCGATCTGAAATACTCTCGGCGAGCATCGTCGTATTGACCACGACAATAATGGTGCGATGCGACTTCTCCTCATTGATCAGGGCCCAGATCAGTGCCTTCGTGGGGGTGTCCAGATCCGAATATATGTCATCTATCAGGATAATGCTGCTATTACCCACAAAGGCACAACAAATGCTGACCAGAACCAAATGGTGGGGCATAAGTTTCTTCAGGCGCTTGTCCTTCAGATGATCGATTCGCAGGGCATGCATGAAGTAGCTAACATGTCCGTCTATATCCGGTGCCCTATGCATGCCCTTTACCCGGCACATAAAACGCAAGTGATCGAGGACGGTCAGGTCATGGATCAGCATTTTGGTACCGAGAGCGAGGCCCACCTCCATACAAGCCGCCTTTCTCTCTGTCAGCATATCGTGGTTGCCGACGGTGATACTACCACGGCTGGGTTCTATTAGACCGGCCAGTATTTTGAAGAGTGTGGTCTTGCCACACCCATTGTGACCCATCAGAACGGTCACCTCGTTCTCATACACATTCCATGTGAAGAGATTCAAGACCGGCCGATCCTTCGCGCCAAAGCGTTTACACAGCTTCTTGATCTTCAGTTTGAAGCGGCGGTTTGATGGCTCAACCTCATAGATTTTTGTGGAATTAACGTCCATTCCCCGCCCATGATTGGTGTCGTTTTTTGCCCAATCGTGATAGGGCTCATCGGGCATACTGTTCGCCCTGGCCTCCTCCCTATTGACTCTCTTCGCCGAGCGATCGCCCATGCGCCATATGTCCATATAGAGGCCGATGATGCAATAAATCAAGCTAGTGACCAAAAATATCCAAATGCCAGTATACACCGATAGCTGACAGTTGCGATAGCTGAAATTGTAACTAAAGCTAAGATGCATGCTGTGTATGATCGTCTCCCGATCGGTTATGCATTCGAACATGGCGTTTAGCACTACATTGGGGATAAGGTAGGAAATGTATCGGAATACCCAAGCCGTCGTCGTCATGTTATTCCAAAGCACAAAATTGGGCATATGGAAGGCAACCCATACTAACGTGGCCACTCGCACGGCAGTGTGGGGATCATTGAAGAATGATGCCATCATGACCACGAAGGAAGCCACAACTGTGCAATAGAAAGCTACCACCAATAATAGGACGTACCAGGGCGTTTGCGTCAGTACCGCATCATTTAGGTTCCAGGGCACCTACACAGTTAATACAACATATGAATAGATATCAAAGCCTGAAAATGTTAATGTATTTCTACCTTCAAAAGGATAACGATGATAACGCTGCTTAATATGAAACACACAAAGCACGTGAGGTACCAAGAAAAAAATTGAAACACATTTCCAATGCCCATATTGACGAAGAATAATCGCATTTCATTGTGCTTCTCATTTACTATTTGCTGGTAAAGATAACAATAAAAGAGGAAATATTCACAAATAACTTGGCAATAGTTCATTTTACTAGCTCTGACTTACCCAAATGAAGATCAGCGAGGGAAATAGATAGCCAACCAGGATGAGAAGTGACAGACCGTTATCCAGATCGTCCATCAGCGGATCCTCTCTTGACCCCAAAACCGGAAAGCGGCGTAACACAATTTCTGGCACGGTCTTACGACTGATAAGATTGAGGAATGACTCCGAGACAAACTTCTGTATAAGGATGAATCCCTCGCGAACATAGCCCACAAATCCGCCATCATACGGATGGTTGAGGCGCTGAAGAACGATAGTTTGCGGATCATCCGGATATAAGGTGTACCAATTGCTACGACGAAAGTCACGGTTTAGCTGCCTCAGCTCGCTGGGCATGATGATGGAGTAGCTGAAGTGTGGCTTGATCTCCATCTCGCTGGAGGACTTGAATTTTTTCTTAAAGTTGTTCCTATTGATGCAGATGCCTGCGAACATGGAGTCGCTTACCATCTTCTGGCGCAACTCATTACAGTCATTAAAAGCGATCACTTTCATTGGATCGAATCGCTCCTCTGCATTGGCCATTATCTCCCTGAAGAGTTCGAAATCTTGCGGTGCCCACCCGATGACCAGATTGGGTGTCCACGGATTTCTCGTAATGTTGTGGATATTGGCCACCTTTCTCCCATTTTCAAGCTTTTCCACCATCTCCAACCAACATCTCTGCAAATCGATGGCGTCGTAGACCTTGTCTGAGCGTATTCTCATCGGAATGATGAGCCTCATCCCCACTGCGACACAGATGAACATCGGTGGGCACAGTAGGATGAACACCAGTTGCAGTGGATTCCCCATCTGCACCTTCCAGTTTTTCCAGTTCATCAGACATAACTTTCGGATAAATTTGCGTATGGTCATCTTGAAGGTATTCTACTAATTGTTTTCGATTCTGTAAAAAATTAACTGGTCTTTGACATTCCTTGACCTACTGGGAATACAAAATATAGGACATTAAAAATGTGAAAATTAAGTTACAAGTTTTTGGTTCACATTAACTGTAATTATGTGTAAGAAGCATATAATTAAAATTAATTAAAAACGGAATAAATTTATTGCAGCAATAACAACAGTGATGGAACTGCTGATAATTCTTAAGTTGCATTCCTTATAATATGTTTAATTATTATTAAATTAATCGAATATAGTAATGGAGGTGATAGCTTTCTCTGTTACTCTCTTTGTCTCTTTGTCTCTCGTTTACTATTTTTGGTATGCCAATCTCTCTCTGTTTATCTCTAGAGATGCCTCTTTCTTTCTGTCTTTCTCTGTCTAGAGATAGACTATCTCTTACTCTCTCGCTCTCACTTACTCTGTTCTCTTTATTCGGAGAATATAAATACAGGCACTACCGTCCCCCTTACCTCAGTATGTCCGCGGCCTCCGTACTATTTACATTTAAAGTGATAGTGATCGGCCCCAAAAATAACACCTGATATGCATCTGGATAATCAATAAGAAGCTCACTTCACCAAGAATATATGTACTGCACTGAAAGGAATTAAGCAAGTTCCTTACTTTGGTAAGTCTTATTAAGCATGACAATTATATTACGTAAATAGAATAGAATTAGATTTGTTAGCTATGCATTTAATGTCCAATACCAATGCCTTATTGCCACGGACCCCATTACTTAATTATTCCGTTGGAGGGAATTGCAAGCTGTAGAGTTATCTTCCTTTCTTATTCTATATTCTATTTTCATCCCTTGGATGCAAAAACTCTCTTTTTTTTACCAAAAACATCGGATAGTGATTCCCACATTTCCGCCCGCTATTCGAGTGGCCAATTGGCCGGCATTTAGCAATCGCACGCGGCGCCAATTCATCATCGTCCCGATCAGGCTCACCTGTCAGGCGGCTGTGGTGGCGGCTGCACAGTGATGGGCATGGAAAATCCAGCGAAATTGAACGTGTGTCCTTCTCGTCTGGCCAAATAATTCGCAGTTAATTTCCCGGCAAGCGTGGCGAAACGAGGCGCAAAGCCCGCGCAACGCGTTACGTGACTCTGCCTCTCTCTTGGCCCTTTTCGTCGTTTTTATTTGGTGAGAAAACATTTACGCACTAATTTCTGGGCATTGACTGGCACCCCTGCTCCGTGCTCCCTGCTCCCTGCTCCCAGCTCCTTCCTCACTGTTCCCATTACGCCGGCGACCAAAACCAGTTGCATGCCAATTGGTTTGCAATTTGCCGCGCTTAGCAGGGGGTGTGTGTGTGTGTCTGTGGGGAGGAGGAGTGAAGGGGTGGTGGCATGAATGGGGGGTGGTGTGGGGTAGTTGGGCGTAAGTGGGGGCTGCAGGGGGTTGGCCGCAAATAGCGCACGCATAGCTGTCCGGCGCGTGGCTCAATTACGCGGTTAAATGCATTCAAATTGAGTTGTTTATACTGCGGGCGTGTGCCTGGTCAACTGGGGATCGTTCCGCTCATGGACTCAGTACTGTCATCCTGGCGATTTTCCTAGATTTTTGAGGAATGGAAATCCTTAGCTCCAGCAGGTGCCTGCTCTAATCCTTGCAACACTTGTGACACAAGAAAGGAAAGCCAAAGAATATATAGCATGGCTTATAAGCAAGCTGTAAGATATATACATTTATATTTAGTAAAAAAAACAATAAATTTGTATTTAAGAGTATTATATATTTATTTTTATCGAAATATATCATTTAAATTAGGAGTTTGAATTGGAAACTATAACTAACTTAGAAACTAACACCGTTAAATATATAAAATAACACGAACTTAAGACCTCTTTAAAATACTCACATTAAATTAAAACTACACTTGAAATAAAAATTATAATATATATATGTACATTCAGAACAATATAGAAGTAAATATAGAGAGAAGTATCACTTATGCCTGCGCTTTTGCACAATCTCTTCTTTGTGCCCTAACTCCGAGTGTATTCGAACTGTGGAACCCGCTTCGCTGCCTCCTTGGAAGAACGTTGGCGAAAGGATATACTGTTGTCCTCCGCTCGTGGTATCCGTCTTGGGCATTAAGGGCATTGACCTAGAGAACTGTGCCCCAATCATGTCCTGCAGGAAATAGTCGAGCTGGCGGAGCGACAGAGCATTGTGTAGTGTCTCCAGTGGTCGAATGGGTGGCACTTTGTTAAGTCATACGATAAAAATGGTTGTTATTATTCAGGAATAAATCATAAGATATAAAAATAAAATACCTGGCAGCTTAGCGCAGTTATCATCCAGGGCTCGCTGCTCGGGGCTTCGGGATCTTGGCTCACAAACGATTTTGTCCGACCGGATGTCCGGACTGATAGGTCGAAACTGCGGGTAGAATTGGGGGAACTCGTGCTGCAGTGATACCAGCTCATTGTCTAAATTCATGGCTTTACGACCGCTGGGCTTATGATTATGTATAGTGGTAGTAGGCTTTGACCGAAGCTTCGCCCTCAGTGACAGGCATTTGAAGCCAAATTCTGTTTGGTGAGTCTTTAAAATATTCATTACACAAAATATACAAGAGTACAAAGCATAATTACCAACTCACCAAAAGTTCCTTGGGCTTCTGCGTCTCCTCTGCTAGCTCTGCGGGATTCATTTCCCCCGACGACCGGAGACTGTCACAGTCGTCGTGGGAATGAGGCCGGAAGCCAGGACCTGGTGGTAGATTCTTCCCGACGCAGCAATTAACGCCGGGACTGAAGTGGAGCTCGATGTGGAAGCGCTCCTCGGATGTGGGGTCCTTGGTGGGATCCTCGTACAGCATAATGACAATCTGGGACATGTAGTTCAGCTCGGCCACCGTCGAGATGTACTCCATGGCGCGCCGCCATTGCTGATCGGTGACGACATTGAGCAACTCGCCATAGCGAAGGATTGTGAGCAGCGAGTGGATATGGGACTCACTGGTGAAGTACAGCCGCGTCCGCACATGCCGCTGGGGGCTGGCAACACCGTGGCTATAGTGCGGATTCAAGCGATTCATAAACTCATCCTCCACCTCGTCAATATTGCGCTGCAGATCGGTCTTGATCTTACGCAGCAGCGGCGAACAGATCCCATGTCCAATGGCCAACTTCTCCTGCCGCGTCAGTCCATACTCCTGCGGCACCACTATATCCGCCAGGTTCTTTGTGTACACATACAGCTCCTCGGCTCGATCGTACTGCAGCGTATGTTGGTTATGCTGCACATCGTACTTGATGCAGTCATAAATGTCTGGTATTTTGGAAATGTCGAACTTCTTCGATTTGCTTCTAAAGTCCTTTTCTATCTTCTCCCAGCGACAACGCATGAGGTCCCAGGTTTCTTCGTGGTACAGGATTGCATTTTTGGTCCTTGGATCATCTTTCTTAACACTGATCACATGGAGGAGCTCGCGGATGAGCAGAAGGACGTGATGGCAACAATAAACCGGATTCTTGACAAAGTTTAGCGCCTGATTGATTGATTTGTTGTTGCACGGATTAATTTTCTCGCGATCCACCTGAGTGAACTCGCGATCGTTCTGCATAAGCTCGTACAAGCGATCTTTAGCCCTGGGATATATTTTATGGAAATTTTGGTTATATATAAAGCAAAACATTAAGATCACTCACAGATTCTGATAGTAGTTGCAATCACCGTCATTGTCCAGGAGTCCATTTGTATTGGCACTTTTCACCATCTGTACAAGGATAGGTGTTAGTTCACCCTCCAAGGCCAACAGGCCCTTGGCAAAGGCGGCAGCGGTCATTTGGACACGACCCTCATCCGAGGCATATATCTTTAGATCGTGCCGGAAGGTGGAGTGCAATCGCAAGAGACCCAATCCCTGGGTGCCCGTATAGTCGGCTCTGCCCTGTCCGCGCGGATACATGCACCGAAAGATTTGACCCAGTTCCTCTGCCTGGACACGACCCACAGGCGTAAGTTCGCCACCCCACTTAAGAACGAGGATGAGCGAAGGATCCGGCGATTGATCGGTTTCCAGATTGGCTTTGCATTGCTTAGCACAATGCTCACCATTATCGGACCTGGAACCACATGGCCAACCCTTCGACTGGTACTTTATCTGCACCTTGCGATTGATGCCCGAGAAATGACCATGCATCTCCAGGACAGTCTTCATCTGCTCCAGTTCGCTCTCCTTTTCCCAGATCTCAACACCAGAATTCTTTTGAATCTCGGCAAGCAGGAAGCGGGCAATGTCCAGGATCTCCTGCAGCTGCTTTGGTTTCTTGAGCTTGACATGGTCCAAATTATAGCCATTGTATTTCTCAAAGACCTCAAAGAATCTCAAGTGGAAGGATAATACAATAATGGATTCTAGAATTAATAATGTAAATACAACTCACTTTCGGTGCCGCACTTCCACCTTCATCTTTTGCTTGGGCGTACGGTCGCCATGCCGGATCACGGCCACCACACATCGCAGCTCCATCATCTTGCCAAAGATGGTGGGCATAATGGGTGGCTCGTCCAGGCGAAAGGAAATGGACAAGGGGGTGCTAAGCGTGGCAGTTAACTTTCGCAGGATAATATTCCCCAGGATCTTAGCGCAGTCGTCGTAATATTTGTTCGAATTCTTCACAAAGCTAAATCCATTGACATCGCAGACGTAGCTCTTGCCGTTGGCCCGCAGGAGATCAAAGCCACAGACTGTCTGCTTGAAGGCCAAGCATACCTTACGCGCGATGAGCTTCTCGGTATGATTAAGGATAACCGGATACCGGATCTCCTTGCCCTCTCTGTCGCGTTCCACCTTGCCATCGAGCGCCGGACTCTTGCGACCCTCCGCGTGGGCATAGTCCGGACCAACAGTATACACCTTGACATCGGTCCCTAAAAGGTATAATAACAGCAAGGAGCAATGCTAGTAAAACGTGAAAAGTGCCTACCATCGGTGGCCATAAAGTCCTCATAGATGAAGGAGCCCGTTTTTCGCACTCTCGATTCCGGCGAATACACGCTGCTCCGGCTGCCAATCTTCCGGAATAGTCTCTGACTACCGCCGCCCGCCGATGAGGGATAGTAAATATAGATGTTGTGATCTTCCGCCGACACTGGCTTCTCCACAAAAGGCTTGTTGAAGATAATTCCATTAACCTCCACATGGTCATCCGACTCGATAAGCTCGCGTTCTGTGCGGGAAGAGGCTGGATATTTAGGGGCTTGAGTCTTTTTTTGTACAATTACTAACGCTTTGGATTCGCCATGTCACGATCGAGGACCGCATAGCGAGGAATCTCGATGCCCTCCTTCTCCAGAATGGCATAGACCCGCCTGCGGTCGAGGATATCGTACTGCTTATCCAGCTTATTGAGCAGAAAGGGATTTCGCAGCTGGGCATATTTGATGGCCTTCTCCAGCGGGAATCCCTTCGAGTGAAACGAGATCAGGCAGTCGCAGATGGGCCAATTCTGGACGGGCTCCTGCAGGATCACAGTCTCCTCGAAAGTCACCAGCTTAATGTATGGGAACTCGCCAAGTCGTGCTAATATCTCCTTCATGGCCTTCGATTGCGCCTTCTTGGCCATGGCACAGATCCCGACAACCACTTGCTTAACGTTGCCTGACCTCTCCGAGTCCCTGCCATCATGGCTGTCCCCGTATTCGGTGTTGCCCTTCAAAAAGTAGGGAATAAATTGTGTTTGAAGGTTACTCTTATTGCGAGACTGCGATGTCTTCAGCATTTTGGATCTGTGATGGAATGAAAGTGGTTTGAAGCTGATAAGCTGCGGTTGGCGATGGGTTGGTTTAGGTGTATATTTATGAATTTTGTTTTTTTTTGTTTGTCACATATTGTAAAAAGTCAACTAGTTTGTTAGGTGAAGTCTAGAGTGTTTTAAAATTTAGCTTTATTTAAAAGAGCTAAGTTTTAAATAGAAAATTGTAGCCAGTTCAAAGAGTGACAACACTGCCGGCTCTGGTTTGCTGCGTCTGTGTACTTATGGGAACGCTGTTGGCAAATCAGTTACAGTTATTGTTGTTCCCATTGTTCGAGCCGCAAAATGCCACGCGGCCAAGAGCATTGTTCACAAGGACTGGGCAAGTGCCGAGGATTGGGCATGGCCGTCACCCTTTAACCCATCTTTGTCAGCTGCAAACATAAAACTATCAGCGGTCGAGTGGCCAGAAGTTTGCCGCCGAGCTGGTTGATTATTTATGTCAGTGCTACCCTTTAGCAGTGCTTTCTTGCCAAATCCGCTTAAGTGTGACATTACAGGCAAATGCAAACAAAGCCGGCACATAATTAAAGAAGCTGCCATGGTCTTTCAAGGACCGACCAAGAAAAGCAGTTAGACACTGAAGAAAAGTGGTTGAAACCTTTCAGTTCGGAAATGTTGCTCAAATTCTTGACTATTTGAGTTTCACTTATCTTAGAACACCCCTAAATATCCCCTAGATTTTCTCTGCAGTGTAACCCTTAGAACAGGGAGAAAGCCCTGGCAGACAACAAACTATAGCAATTATAATACGCGAATTGCGGCGGAACTAAGCAGCCACAAAGGAGCAGGAGCCAGGAGCCAGGAACAGCAGCAGCTCAGTATCTTTTGATGTCGAGTTCACAAAGATTAATTTATTTGCATTTGCGGAGAACAAATGTCTCTGCTGTTCTAAGAGTTTCCACGAAGGGTTCCATCCTGGGCCCCATCAGGGTGAGGCCATCTTCCATCAATTTATTTAATTTATTCGTTATAGTCGACGGACCGAGGCAGTGGAACTCAATTGCGGACCAAATCACAGATTGCTTCTAGCACCTTTTCCCTATTTGGCAAGTCGGTTTCATTTGTTGCGCTAGATTTTTCTCAATCACATACGGGAATGGAGCAGATCTCTTTCGTCCCTGGGGACTGTTGGTGGAGAAAAGGGAAACTAGTCCCAGACACATCTGCGGTGGCACTGGCTCCCAAAAATACCCTCGAATAAACTCGGCTAACAAAGGAGGACATTTGCAAATTGCTTTGGTTTTCCGCCTTGCCGGGCGTAATGAGCAGATTTGTTTTAATAAGAACGGACTGCAACTAAGCGCCGGGTCTGGCCTCACTTGGCAGTTTTAAAATGAGCATCTCGACCGGCAACTAATTGTGACCTGGATACCCACCCACCCCGACCCACTCCAGCCCCGCGGGCGGTGAGCTTAACAAATCGCTAGTCCGCAACATGAATGAAATGAATCCTCCTCTCGCTGGGGTCGCTGCTAATGTGCTCGTTAAAGTTTTCCGCTGGCAGGAAGTGAGCAAAAAAGATGCGACACCTGCAGGATTACCGGTTGGAACGGAACGGAACGTTGGAATACTCGCATCCGGTCGTTATGACAATGCAGCGCATCAATTGGATGTGGCAAAATTGCCAAATAATTATCCCAGTCAACAGGACTGCGGTCTCAGCGAGTTTCTGGTTATATTTACACTTCCGGTGGCTTGTAATTTTGCTTATAAAGAGGTAAGTCTTTATTAAGGAACTCAATTGCAATGAATTGTTTTATTACAAACTATGGAAATTTAAGCGTTCTGATTAGGGTTAGTCTAAAACATGTCCTACTCATGAGACGGATAATTTATCTGCCTGGCCCCTGCTTATACCGAAAGTGTAAACGTTGGGAGACGTCTCTAAGGTCTCCTAGCCTAAAGAGTGATTATAAATGTTGAAGTCTTATTATTAGTAATGGAACTAAACTTATTTCTAACAAGTATTTTTTGGCTTTTCCCTGATGAGCATCTCTGCTAGCAGATCCTGATCCTGTGCTCGATTTTTGCTGGTTGCCAGGGGCGTTGCTAATTAGCGAATACTCATTCGCCCGGCCCTAGGTCGTTATATCTATTGGTTTTTCCTCCACATATATGCTAGCCATTGTTCGGTGTTCGATTTTCCGGCAGCAGCGTGAAATGGGATTGCGATGCGACGAACACAAAAATAAAAATCCAAATAAAAAAAGAATGACATGCTCGGCAAACTAACCCTTTCGGACAAGTCGAAGTTCTTTCAGACGAGCGCACGCAATTCAATTTTAAACTAACAACTTAATCCTTTATTCAATTTGAAACCCATTAAAAGGACATTGCTTATCCTTTTAAGTGAATGCAAACAGCTTTTAATGTAAATAAGAAAACGAGATCGATGCCAGGAGAGCCGTAGAGTTTGCCAATCTCTCCAGCTGAATCTGCTGCCGGTCGTAGAAGTGGCTGTGGATGTGGCAGTGGCAATGGATGTGGAAAATTAAAATGCAATCGGTTACCGGCTCGATTTTGGCCGAACGCCCAATTGACATTTGCAACCGCACTTAAGAGCCCAGTCAATGCCGTCCTTTGGTCCCTGAGCCGTATCCAGACCTGAGCCCGGACTCTGGGTATCCGGATCCTGGGATACTGGAATCTGGAAACGCACTCGAGAACAAATCGAACTGAGTGGGGGTACAAGGCAAGGCGAGTCTGAATTCCATTTGAATATTTCATGCTGTTGTGGTGGCAAAATTTTAAATCGACTCAAGTCAAGGGTGCGGATACCGAAATCAATCTCGTTTTGTGTGGCAACCAAATTAACATAGCCGGGCTCCGAAAGCAATGTAAGTGTAAGCCACTTGCCGCAGAGTCAGTTGCATTTGCTACTTAGTGTCGCCTTTGGAAGCCATCTCCTGCTCCTCCTCCATCCATGTCCACCCACTTATCCTTGTCTCTTCGATGGTGATTCCTACACACTGAGGGAATAACAAAGCTAAGGTACTTTTTCCTATACTTTCAAAGGCATTTGGAAAAAACTCTACCGATAGTCGATATTTATTCAAAGATAAGTTGATATTTAACATAAGTTTTCTTCTAAATCAAAGATTCAAAATATCATAACTAAGCCAAAATAGCATTAATTTCAGTTCGGAAAGCATTTCTGTGTTAGTTATTATAAGGCTAACAAATCTGCATACTCAATTTGTCATTTTAAAAAATTCCTTTTTTTTGTCAGTTTTTGAAAATTTTAATGAAAATAATTAATGATGAATCCCTTATAAAATTTTCAAATTTCGAAAAAATCTCAACAATTTATTTTTCGATCAGACATGGCTATATCGACTCGGCAGTTGATAATGACCAATTATATATATTATTTACATGGTCAGAAATGACTCCTACACTGCTTTACAAGCTTTAGACTGAAATTATAATACATTTCAAGGATATAAAAATACTCCAGATAATAGTCTTTTCTTTGTATAAGAAAGTTGTAAGTTATAAACTGATAAATAGAGATTTTAACCTTCTTGAATTTGTTTTTTGTGTAGATATTCGTGATTCGGTGCTGTGCATTTGCTGCTTAATACCTTCAAGTTTACTTTTTTAAATGTATTTTACATTTGATTCCGGTAACGCACCATCATCACCACCGACACCACCACCACCACCTCCACCACCACCGCCGCCGTCACCACCTCCCTGCTCATCCTCGCCACTTTGGCTGATGAGAGAAGCATCCCAAAACCGGGACACTAAGTAGAGTTTGGGAAATTCACCATGTGCACTCACATAGTATAATTTACCCTCCTCGGCACAATAAAAAGTGGAAACTTAGCTGCAAGTATTTCGTTTTCTCCCGCTTCTTGTTGGTTTTTTTTAAGCAGTGCTCCTTTTTTGATTGCCTTTTGTTTTGCCAGTTTCCCAGTGTTTTTGTCCGTAATGGGCGGGAAAGCCTTTGGGGATGGGCATCTTTCAAGGACCCAGAGGAATTTCACACTGGCAACTGCTTGGGCACATTGTAGCATCTTGTGAGGGCAACATTTTCTTGAAGGAAGTATCAAGATGTTGGAAAACTAGGGAAAATATCATGGAAAATTACATATCTGATCCTGAGGAATTGCATAAGATATAAAGGATATGTAAGAGTTTGTCTTACTAAGGAATTTAAATCACTTCTATTAAAAGTACTTGATTGCCAAAGGGTGATATTTAATGTTCATATATGTTTTTTATTGAACTAACAACAATCAGTTTGTAATTATTTATTGTTTATTATTTCCTCTAAAATATATTTTCGAAAATTACCTACCCCTGGAGTTTCCAAGTATTTATTTGCTTTGCCAAACTCTACTTGCAACTTCATTATCCGATTGTTCGGGCATATCTTGTAATATTTCAGTGATACTTGAATTGAATTGGTTTTCCCCTTGTGAAAAATGACTTCTGCCTCTTTGGCCTGCAATCTGTCCCCGAGAAGGCTGAACAAATAACAATATTTGGACACGCGACCCGTGAGCCACTTGAGCCGAGTTCCGAATGGAAAGTTGACAGATTTCGGCAGGACACAGCAAACAGAGATCACGGAGGGTACCGAATGTCAGCGAGTCAATGCTGAGCAAACAAATAAATGTAAATAATGTGGAATTACGAAAATATTAAATGAAAATTAGTTGTTACTCTCAGATCTGTCCTTCTACCCACTCCATCGGAAATCCCTACAGAAATCTCGGTGAAATGTGGCCGAGATGAGGGAATTCTCGACGGACTTACGGCCACTTATCCCTGTCGCAGCTGGCATCGGGACACAGTTGGCAGGACACTAATAAGCAGGCAGTCAATCGGGCCAACTGCCGGGCTTTGGCCATTTTCCGGACCACCTTCTTATCTATAAATGGCCATAAGCCACGGCCCGAAACGCTTGTCCTTTTTGTGTCCTTTTTTCGGACACTTACTTTTTTCTGGTTAGCTTGCCACTTGGTCTATCATTAAGACCCGAATTTCAACACATTTGTGCGCTTAATCCCTTAAGGCTCTTTAAACTTTACACACTTTTCAGACGTCCACCTTCCAGCTGTCCCCAGAAAAAAAGGACACAAATTGTG